TCAGCCTTGGAATTAAGCTTAGAAATGGAGTGTGCTTAAATACAAGCCTATTTGCTGATGAACAAATTTTAATCCAAGAAAGTCAGTATGACATACAGAGGTCTATCCCTCAATTAAACCAAACTTGCAAAGGCTATAATGTAAAGATTTCAACAACGAAGACCAAAACGATGGTATTTGTAGGAAAACATCCTAAACGCACCAACATAATTTTGGAAAGTACGATGCTGGAACAAGTTAGCCATTTTAAATATTTGGGCTACAACATAATGTTCCTTACCGAAATGGATATAGATTAAAAAATTCATATATACCAGAATATAAGCAGAAATGTTCGGCGAACTCTTAATGATAAATCACGCAGAGATACTCTAATGAGGATATATAAAGTAATGGCTGTCCCATGTCTGTTGTTCGGAAGTGAATGCTGGACTGTGAGGGAGAAAGATAAACAGGAGAAAGTTACAGTTTGCTGAAATGAAATTCTTGAGATCTGTAAAAAAATGTAACAGACTAGATAAACTCAGAAATGAGGAAATTCGAAAAGAATTAAACGTCCAAGGAAGAGACTCGCATTTTAAAACAGGTGTTTAAGTATAGTCCTCAAGACAGAAAGACCCAGGAAGAACCCTCAAAAGATGGAATTCTTAGAAGCCGGAACAGGTCATAGACCTATCCTTGAAGTGGAGAAGAAGAAGAAGAAGAAGAAGAAGGATAAGGATAAGGATAAGGATAAGGATAAGGATAAGGATAAGGAGAAGAAGGAGAAGGAGAAGGAGAAGGAGAAGGAGAAGGAGAAGGAGAAGGAGAAGGAGAAGGAGAAGGAGAAAACGTAAAAAATGTGGCTGTACTAAATTATAACCATTTGGCATCATTCGTACCTGCTATTATTTTACGGTGTTTATAATTTTGAAATAGAAATATTATTACTTCATATCCCTTATGGAGGCATCATATAAGGCCATTGGGTGTCGGAAATTTTTGAACAGGAGTTAAACATTATAGCTACTACGATTCATTGGTATGTCCAATGCTCGACACTGTAAAAACTTATTTGAACAAAGCTAAGGATAACATAAATTTTCAACACATGAAAATACTTTTAAAACAGTTTACAGCGTCGGCGATACCACTTTCAACTACCCCTCCGTAGTATTTGAGTAACTGCGAGTAATGCGTAAGTGCAGATCCGTCACTCAGACCACTTCCCACACACTAAACAAGATATATGAGGTGTCATTCTACGCGCCTCATTTCCCTTGAAGAACTTCAAGTGAATACGGAGAAAATGAAACTGTGAGTAATCCTACAAAATAAAAGCACATGTAACTTATTACGTTCTACTTCTCACAGTTACGTTTTTAAGGGTGCAAATAGCGATTTTCCAATGAATGTGACTAACAACTTATTCATAATAAACTTAACACCTTATTCGCATAAACATACAAAAAGGGTGTTTACAGTGAATATAGATTCGCCTACAAAAGGATTAATAGAGAAATTGCAGAAGTAAAAGTTAATATAAATTAGACTGAATTTGTGGAGTTCAACACTTTAAAAATTAGGCGACAAAAATATAGAAGTGGAAAGCAAATTCGGGGAAAACCCAAATGTAGTTGTAGTTTTTTGGACAGAATTTTCGGAACTAATTGAAAATTATATTATTAGAGAAAAATGCTGAAGAACAGCTTACGGCAATATTTTATGTGCATTTTTGTGTATATTAGCAAAAAAACGTATAAAATGGGAGCTGTTCTAAGTTCTAACTATTCGCACCATCCGTATACCTGCCATAGTACCCTTAGTCTGAAAGCATATATTTTATTGTAATGTACCGTATTGTTTAGAATTGCAAAGAACATACATATATTATGATTAAATAAATTATTTCCATTACAAATTTCCTAGTGTTTTTTATATTTCGAATGACGAAAAATAGTTTCTCACAAAATGTTTCGTGGATTCGCGATGCGATAAAAATTGTTTTCCAGCATTACTTGTTATCTATGGAAGCGAAGTCGGCAAACGGCCTTAGACCACTGTAAAACGATTTTCTTTAACGGATCTTCAAAAGAAGAAATTTGTAAACGTACGGATTAAAAAGTCACCGAGTGACTAACTTTTCTATGATCCGGCAGCTCTAGCGTGAACATACAGTGTGTTTAGTTTAGAGAGCAAAAAATACGCATTAAGTGAGAAAGTAAAAATATACGGATAACATTGAGTAAAACTCTTGATTAAATTTTATTTTTTTAAATATAATTTTCTCATATATTCTAAATAATGCATGATATTTGTTTAATGAACACTGAGAAAAAAGCAAACCTGTTTTCCCAATGAATATTTTCTGTTCTACTTTTCTGTAATTATAAAACAAAATCTATTGTTTTAATCAATATGTCGGTACCATTATCAAAAAAGTTTCATTGCTTTTTGGGCAACAGAACAATTTTCATTACAAATGTACTATAATAAACATTCAAATAAATGCACATAACTGTTGCAGCCATTTTCAAAATGTATGCGGTTTAAAATGGTAAAAATATATAAATATTTTTTTTAATATAGTGTAAAAATCGATAGTATTGTGTTATTTTTCATAATTTTTTTTAATCAGATAAAGTAGTGTTAGTTTGACAAAAAAATGAAATGATTTAAAACTGGCACCAATTTTTTCTTTAAACCTTATTAACGTCAGATAAGTTATTTGAGTCTCGCACATTAATATCTACAATAATTAAAATTTATATTGATGTCACTTTAGATTTTAGGTATTTGTAGGCACTACATCTTCAAATGGTCTTTAATGAAGTATCTCAAAATTTGAAGAGTTTTCAAGTGTTGGTGAGGCAAAAACAGCACATTTGAAAAAATATTGAAATGAATTTTCTAAAATACAGCTCTCGTTCCCCCAAAAAAAATTTATGTGAAAAGAGAATGCTTTGTGACCACATTCCTACAGTCTCATTTTGTTTACAACATCAGGGATTTTTAAAAATTTAGAAATCATGAAAAAAAAAATGTTTTTGATACAGTAATACAGTATTTGAAATATATGTTACTGCAAGAAAACCATTGTATTAACTGAATTGTTATCTAAGTGTAATGTTCTACAAGGCTTTTTATACCTATGATGTCAAACTTTAGTCAGTGTTCATAAATTCACATTCTTTTCCAACAGGTTTTGGACATGAACATTGTCCTGCTTCACTTATAAATAATTTGTTTAAGTAACTATTTTGGAGATTAAATTTAATCCCCACCCAAAAGTTGTCAAACTGTCATTATCAATATTGATTATGCAACTAGAAACACTTTGGAAATCACTCACCATGAGACTCAATGAACTCAACGGATTTGTACCATGGTGAAAATAATGACTCCATTTAAGATGATGATCATCATCATCTTCATTTGTCCAGCCTGTTTTCTCATGGCAAATTATATTAATAAATATGTTTTCTTTACAAGTTCTATCTTAATAATCAATGCATCAATTCATAAATATTTGTTAAAAGACAGAATAATAATAATAATAATAATAATAATAATAATAATAATAATAATAATAATAATAATAATAATAATAATAATATTTATTGAGTCACATATACAATTACAATCGTGTATGACGAGTCAATATGATGCCTTGGGTGGAGAGAGCGAAGTTATATTACTGTTCAGGAGCAAACAAGGGGCCATCTCAGCATTTGCTCAAAGGATCAGGGAAACTGAACAAAACCTGATCGAGATGGGGTATTGGCCTAGAAATACAATACTTGTTACTTGTTACAGTTAGATTAAGATATTATTCAGTAGATAGTTTATCTGCTAATAATTAACATTTCAATATGATATTTTAATGCTACTACTTATAATAATTACATTAATTATAATAATTACATTAATAATACATATCAATTATGTTTGCAACTACATCAAATTTAACAATAGTAGTACATTCTATATTTATAACTTGAAATGGTGAGGAAGCAAATTTTGACCAGTTTTTTTCTTGTTCTATTTCACAGGATGTGATATGCAGTTCTTTTTTCTTTGCTTCAGCTTGAAACAGTTGTTTCAGAAAACACACATTGTGTCAGAAAATTTGATTTTGAATATGGAGGGAGAAAGGATGTTGTATGATGGCTAATTTTTAATTATTAAAGATCAATTAATATATTTCAATCTTTATCATAGATCAATTAACACATATTGTATGGAACAATATCACCTTTGTGATATTTCTTTTATTAACATTAATTACAATAAGCAGATATATCTCTATTGTAATTATTATTATTATTAACTTGATTGGCCACATTGGACCACTTGAGTCGTTCCACTTCACTTTAGTCGACTGTCGAAGGTTTTCACCTTGAGGTGAGGATAAATCCTCGAGTTACAATTCTGAATGTTATTCAGAAAGGTGATAATGAGAGATGGATGATGATGATGATGATGATGATGATGATGGGGGGGTGAAAGGATGAACACAAGACAACCATGCCCGAGGCGGGACTCGAACCCGCCTTTCGGTACGAGATCGCTACGGCACTACTGCCTTAGCGATCTCGGCTACCGGATCGGCATCTCTATTGTAATAACAAACAATAGTGCAATTTTCTTGTTTTTTGGTTAATATAGTTAATAGTTTTATAGTTAATATTAGTTTGTATGTTATTCAATGTAATAATGACATTTTTAAACATATATATGACATTTGAATAACCCTTTTCCCCCCAGAAAATAAGAATTGGAAACTGATTAGTCTAATAATTACATTATTTTAATTAATAATTATTACTCCCCACCTTTTTGTTTCTTCCTTCTTAAAATTCTGCAAAAACAGACTCCAGACAGACTTTTTGTATTAATGGTGCAAATTCATTTTTCTTTTATAACGAACTTGCTGTCATATTTTGTCTACTTCTATATCTTCAGTAGGGATACTTTAATAAAATCAGGAACATGTAGGAATTTCAAAAATGAATGCACAATAATAATAGGATGTAACTGTGTAATCTTATATTGAAAATCATGTTCAGAAAAATATACAAGAAATTATGTACAGCTTAATATTTACAATCAATTCATATTTCACGTATGTGTAAAACATTTCTGGTAACAAACACAACCATTGCTAAAAGTGCTGTTGATGTACATAACATCAGAATATTCTAATATTACCATGCAAATATAGTAGAAATACAAAGCTAATTATATCATTAAAATGTGAGACAACCATTAAACATGTTGTTTAAAAATGAATTTAATATGAGTTTGTGTGTACAACAACTACACTTAATAAAAAACATGTCCAGCAAAATTGTGTATCTTAATGGTAAGAGTAGAAAGTGCTTTCATATCATAAATGTATACATAGAAGTGCACATACTTTTTTTAATATTTTATTCAGTTTTTCAAAATGATTAATAATTTCCACTATGTCACAAAGCTGTTAAAGGCATCGGTAATAGCACACGGAACTGTGAATACCGTGTTATGAAATAGATATATCAGATTCTTATTTTCTTTCTCTCTCTCTGTCTCTCATTTTCATTCACTCAATTTACAGAAATACTCAAGGCAATTGTAAAAGTGCAATTAATGGACACGTTATATAATTTAGTGATTCAAAATAAATCTCAAGATTTGGCTATTCGTTGTAGTTCTATACATAGTTGATTACTTTTAGGATAATAAAACATTAAACATACTGACATAAGGAAAATAATGAAGTGTTTAACATCATTATTGATGAACTGAACCAAATATCACAATTGATTTGATACAAATGCGAAAAGTAGTGAGAAAACTGATTCCATTTTATACAATTGTTGCATTATAGTTTTTGAAGTTTGTCAATAAGTATTTGGTATGAAGATGTTTGGTCATTAGCCTCATGCTGGATCAGATATTTCTTGTTCTGAACAAACATTATTCAATCAGTGTTTCTTTAATTCTCATCAATGCAAGTAATGCATTGCTTCTTGTCTATTCAAATGAATGGATTTTACATCTTATGAATACACCATCACAGCTTCATTCAACAATGATGTTTCAAAACACATCAAATAGAAAAAAAGGGGGGGGGGGTCAAAATGTATAAATGTCTGTTTAAAGTAAATACTATTTTAAAAGTTTGGAAGTGCAACCTGTTCTTACTTCATAGCCCATATCATCTGATGATTCATCTACTAATTATCATAGCCTACAGACAGTGTAAAAACTATGTTCACAAGATACTTTTCCAAAGATACAAAATTTTATAATAAGTATTGTATTGATGAATACTGATATTTTATTGAAAATCAAGATCTCCTGTTGCAGTTTAGCATTGCAAGCTTACACACAAGCTATTGAACTGAATGTACTAGGTATAGCTAGTACAATGAATATGTTACTTCTTTTACAAAATATAAAAAAGTTTCTATCCCCCAATTGTGTACTTATTAGTGTTTACTGTGACAATATTTGCATGGAACTTCCTCAACAAAAATGTATTAAAGATGATATTGGACTCTTACAAAATTCATGGGTTCCAAACCATTATGCTATAAACATTGTAATGCATATTTCACTGTTGTAAGCCTTTAGAACAAATATGGGTATTGAAATTCATTAAGGCTATGCATCATGTCTTTTAATAATATAATGTCTATCTACTGATTTCTAAAAAATCAATATTTATCCAATTCTGTCTTTCTTCTGTACAAACATTGGAAAAGAAGAATTCTACTTTTGCTGTACTAGGTAAATTCAATATTCCTATGAATTTAATAATGCATATTTCTTTGAATATTTTCAAGATCACACAACAGTTTCCAGTGTCTTATCTTCTTAAAAAATGTTTGTAAACAAGTTTATTCATCACTGTAAGGATTACATATAAAATAGTTTGCACTTAAAAGAGAGTGAGGAACATTCCTCACAATTGAAACCCACAAAATGTATTTGTTCCAAAATTTCAAACATATACATTTCATTCACAATCAGAAATGATGATGTCATTTAATAGAATTTTATTCATAACAAAAACAAAAATGACTGTAAATATGCCAAGAGTAATATTTTATATGGTAATAGCTTGTCCTTTGCCTGTATTACTAGGCATAACTGAAAATATGACATTTGTGGTGATTTATATTTAATTTAATGTACATGTATGTTATTTTGCAAGGACATAATGGCTGTGCTTATTCTTTATTGCATGGTAGCAGTAATAAGCATATACACTATTTATTGGCACAATGCCCACACAAGTCACAAAAGTACAAAATTAACTATGTGACAGTTTTGGTGTTTTCATAGACATATTAAGATACCAATAATGAATGTCCTCATTCCCTTCTTGCATTAATAATAAATTTATTCATAACACGACATTTAGAATTTTGTTACATAGCATGATTGTATTTCTAAGCAAGAAACTTTGTGTAAAATCTTTAAATTTTATTTATAAGTGTTTCTAACTCATCCTTCTCACATACATCATTTTCTCAAGTATAAAAATAGCCAGGGAAAGTAATACATTAGACTTGCTTCATGAACTCTATTTTAAAATAAATTAAAACTTTATACAAGGCTTGCAAATATTCCCTCAGGATTTGTATATTTTTGCAAACTAATTATACAAGGTGAAGCATAGAATTTATAAATTCCATGGCTTTTTGTAATAAAAATTATTTCAATCTCCAAAAGAGAGCATGCAACATTTTTGTTTAAAATAATCTAGCAGTGTGGGTAAAGCAGAAAAGGCACAGTGATATTAGAAGCTTTGTTGTAAAGGTATACATTGTGTACACATTTTATGGCATTGTCATAATTTTCTTGGTAGAATGAATTTCATTTAACTCTTCATAATTAAAACACTAATAAAACTATGAAGTTTGAATATTATTAGTTTATTTTGCAACAGTACCAAAAACTGATGACAAAATATATTTCACATAATGGCATTGCCATGTGTAAGCCATTTCTTTAATGGATCAATCTAGATGCAAATTAACAGTTACATTATTTGTATTTTTTGACACCAACTTTTATTCCTGTGCTTATTTTTATGAAACAGCATTTATTATAGATTTCTTTTATTGTAATGAGATTTAAGCAAATTTTAGAAGGTAATTAAAAGAAGAGGGTATGTTTTCTAAAATTTTGAAAAATTGTTTAGAAAGAGTTACTTGGAAAAAACACTATTTTTTAAAAATTGGCTTTACTGAAAGTTCTGGATTCTATTGTGTAAGCATAGAAACTTTATACATGGAAGAAAGATAAAACATACGGGAAATTCTTTACAATTTACTATTCTGCAAAGAAAAGCACCATTTCAGCTTAAATGAGCAACTCTAGTGATTATTTTAAAAAAATTATAACAATTCTTTTATGTATTTTAAACAAACTAAAAGTTGAAATAGTTTTTAATTCAAGCAGACTGTCTTAAACATACTTTATAATTTTAATCAGTATATAACACCAGACACTTCATAGACCAATAAAATTTTAGAAGATACCAAATTTAAATATAAAAGTTGAATTGAAGTTTCATTTTAATATCCTGGAAATAATATTTGCATTAATATATAAAAAATTAAGCACGATTGAATACCCTGCCACAAGTGATGTTTTTCTTTAGAAATATAATTTTAATCAACAAAAACGTTACCCAGAAGTATTCAACTTGAACAAAATTAACTTTGTTTTGTAATGCAGCCACAATAAAATTTACTGATTGTTTAGTTTACATACACATGAACAAAATATATGCCTTAAATTGAAAAAAATTAAAATATTGGAGGAGAATGTCTTCAATATCACTTCTCTGCATTGCATTTTATTAAATAGGTTGTAAACCTTACACAATATGTTTGTTTCAAAATTCACATAAAATTCAAAGATTTTTGCATTAAGAATATGAAAAATTTATGATTAGAATTTCACTGCAAATGAGTTATGAAAACTCCAATTTTGACTTTATAAGAAAAATACATATTATTAATTTTAATTGTTATAATTCTTTTATGATCTCATCTAAAATAGTTCTATGAATAGAAAGATATAAATGTATTTTTTATGATATAGAATATTAATTTCTGTAACAAGCAGCATGCTTGTTAATTTGCTGTTGACACATGTTGTTTGCAAATATGTAATTAGTATAGGTTAATAATATGCAATATCAATCATTCATAAGCAATCAGAAAATAGAGCGAATCATTCATTGTCATTGAATAAAATATATATGCACACAAGAAAGTGGGACAGAATTTTTTTTTATTGTGTATCTCTGTAAGTATTTATCTTAATCTTTCCTAGCTCTGCAACATACACAAAATTGAACATCTCACAGCACCAAGCACACAATACAGAGAATGCCATTCAATATATTGAGCCAATATCATCAAAAGGGTAATTATTGTATAAAAATTATGATACAAGTATTCTTTCTATCTGATAACAAATTTAAGCATCGTAAAAGACAAAATCCATTGTATCTGTTTTGCTTTACAGAATTTTAAAAATATAATACTGGACTTACAAAGTTAGAGCCTTCAATATGTGAATAAATATGACATAAAAGAAATAGACACATATAATATGTTTGCTGCACAAATGACTTATACGAAACATAATAAAACTAAAAGCTAAAATTAATTTGACACTGAATTGTGAATGAGTTAAATCCATGCACTCTATAAATAACTAGTCCACACTCTTGGACACAATACCATATAGCTCTTTTGACTCTTCACAGCCACATTTTGTAAAGTTGCACAAATCTACAAAATTTGTCATAATTTAGTAGCATTATTCTGTACGCTGTTTCTTTATTCAAAGGGATAATTTATTTCCAATGGTCGTTAATGATGTATGAGATTTGGCACTACAAATATTTTTTTCATGATGAACATCTACAAAAATTCTTGTGTCTTCTAATTATTTTCAAGAAAGTGATAATTTGGCCAAGTTAGGAATATAAATATTCTAATTCAAAACAATTCTAGTTCTACTTTTCCAGACTCTACACAAGAAATGAAAATGTGAAATTTGAAATGTACTTTAATACATACACAGCAAATGTTGTGCATGAAATTGCAACAACAAAAAAATTATAGTAAAAATAATTATAATCTGTTTTTGTATGAAATGTGACCATTGGACACATTTTCACTAGAAACAATCTTACCTTATTTTCTTTAAAATATTCATTTTCATAAATGACATTCTGTCAACACAGCCATCTGATGAGACTTACAAACTTCAAAAGTGCTGATAAATTAGTGAGAAGTGCTTGGCTAGAGTCTCACATCAAGATTATGAATAATTTCCATATAATATTAAACCAACATTAATTGAATGAAATAAGTAGTTCTATTACAATTCATGTTTTGCACAACTAAAACCACAAAGCGTTCTGAAGCATTTTAAATTATTTATTATTTGTGCCCTTATGTGTGTAATTCAATTATTTTTCTTTTTAATGCTCTGTTACAAAGTTATAAAAATCAAATAGAATTTAACAGGCTTAAACAATTGAAGAAGAGAAAAAAAAATACACACACTAAATCTTCCAATATGCGACATCTATTCACATAAAAAATGTATAATACAATTTTTTATCTTTTCCCCTTTAGGAGATATTGTGCAACACTTAATTGGCATTCTCTGTGCACTAAGTTGTTCCTGAAAACATGCATTATATCAATGCCCACACTGCTTCTCTCCAACTAGGCATTATATAACACTGTAATTTTAAAGCCCATTGCAGTGCATGCTACTTAACATTAAAATTGGTCCTGAGAACAATTAATAATTATATTTTGTAATACAAAAAATTGCTTTGAGCAGCTTTGGCATCTTGTGATAGTGACTTAAAATGTTATACATAACTACATCACCTATAAGTTTTGGCAGGGTAAATATTAAATATTATAAAGAATATACATACAATACCAAAATGAATATATTTTAACATTCTTTCAAAAATTTGAACATCTAACCATCATGAACATTCATTAATAAACTCTTGTAGGTTCTTTTTCACATTTGTTAATTTGAAACAACAAAATAGACTCTGCCAACTTGTAGATAATGCAAAGAAAGAACAGAATATGGAAGGGTAAAACATTATTGTATCACACTCCTAGGGTACGATTAACAAAAACACACATTTAGATTGTATTTACAAATTGTTTTGTTTTGGCAGGTGATATCAATATAATTATTAAACTTTAAAACCCTTCCTTTTGTGTAACAATATTCTAAATCTTTGAAATAATAAAACATGAACAAGAAATACTTGCTTGGTCATTGTTCCTCTTAAAGAGGGTAAAGCAAGTAATTAAGACTATATTTATAACAATAACTATGAAAAATGTGAAAATCTGGTAGGGAAGAAATAGTGTATGTGTACAGAAATGTCATAAATTTGTTGCCTTTAACAATAAGATGATTGGAATGATGGAATAAATAAAACTCAGCGTAATAACACAACAGACATAACCATTAGTAACAGAAATGCCTGGCAAATAAAATTGTTTGTAATGATAATTTATTTTAAATAAATACATGTTTAGATTTTGTTAATTTCTTAATATTTGAAGATTGAAACAATCATGAATATTCTTAGATTTTTCTACAATTTATAGCAAACCAGGCTTTAATGTTTCAAATGGTATTACAAAGGAGAATAGATATGATGAGGGTATCAATAAGGATATTGCAACGCAAATTGTGTACCCAAATATACTCATGTACTCATACATACTGGACACACTCACATTCATACAAAAGAAGATACTTGGATACAGTGAGAAGGAAAACAAATAAAAAGATCTATAAACAAAATGTCTTTTATGTTAAGACATCAACCAGGTCTATACTTAGAATCTATCACAAAATACAGTTACTCAAGCTTGCTATCTTCTTGTTTGAATGCTCACATTTCATGAACATATCTTGACAAAGCATATTTAAGTGTTTCACCGTTAGGTTCCTTTTCAATGAAGCTTTATTTGATATCTAAGGGAAACTTATCACAAACTACAGTTGTGATTGCAGTTTGTAGGTAGTATTGCTGTAGGTTGTTCTTCCTTCCCCACTAGGCATCCACTCCTCTTGCATGACACAACAGGTGACTAGAAAATGTTTCATATCACATTCAGAAGGACATTTTCGAAATTAATGATAACTGATATCAGAGTAGTAAAATGAAGTGAACAAATTCAGTAAATGCTAGATATATGAGAACATTTTGAATGTGTTTTATCATAAAAATTAATGATGCGTAAACCTTAAAAGAAAAAAAATTAGTGATTGGTAAAAGGCCTACATCTTCAATACTGCAATTAAAAATATAACATTTACCAAATCAATATTTTTAAGAATTATATAGGTATCAATTTATATGCATTATTTTGTAACCCATTGTCACTGATATCAGTAGTGATACAGCATGTACTTAACTTCGAATATGCCCCTAACTTAACTATCAGATGCACCACATTTCAATTAAGTCATCCAGGGTGAGGATTTGTGAAGGCATCACACTTCTCTAAACAGTCAACAACTTGTAACTTCAAAATATTTGTTTGTATGGTTCAGAACTGTTTATGCAGTTAACTTATGAAAATCCTTTGTAGTGAATGAAGAAGAAGATAAGAAAGACAGCATATGCACAAGGGAATGTTACCCTGGCAATAACATCAATTGTCTTTGCCACACGAATGGGATGAGGGGGCTCCTTCTTCCGAACCTATAGTCAGAAAGATACACAGCATTTATAGTACTTTAAACATTTGTTTTAGATAATATACATCAAATTAGATACATTGTGAAACAACAAAACTATTACTAACATTTATTTATTACAACAAAACTATTATTAACATTTCTCTTTAATATATTGTACCTTCAAGATAATATTACTAGTCATAATCTTTATTTTATAGCAAATATAGTGCAACAAAAACACACAGTGCAATTAGAAAACTTCAGCTACACCCTTGGAAATTGTAATCTTGATTGTCTTTACTGAGACATAATTTTAACAAATGCATACAATAGATAAAAATTATAAGGTTGTCTTTCAAGAGCACAAAACTCGTAATTATTATTAGTTTCTACAGAAACACAGAAAGGGAACATAAAATAGTATTACAAGAGGTTACATTTAGTATCTAAGTTAGTAATTAATGAGGAATGTGAGAGGGGACATCTTTATTTGAAATAAATTTGGCAGGCTAAACATTACAGATGAAAAATTAAATTCTGTGTTTGTATCTACACTTACTTCAAATATAAAAACAAAAATGTATCACAACAAACTCATGGATACACATCACATAAAAATATACAGATAAAGAGTAAAATAAGATTGTAATATCCTTATTGTTTAACATATCAACATGTTTCGTTGTCAAACAGCCTTGAGAGTTATAAATAATTAAAAAACTGTTAGGTTTGTGACAAGAAAGTGAGAGAGAAACACTCTATTTTCAGTGATAATTGGATACAGTCCATGGCATGCATGCAGTGACCAGACAGTGACCTCCAACATCTGGAGAAGGAGAAGGATTACAGAAAAAGAATAGAGGCAGCATAAAAAGAACAAGAGTTGACAAGTCGGCTTATACACACCAGGGAGCTCACTGGGGTCACTGGAGATCCCATCTGGCCAGATTCTGCAGATGTCAGGGCTGCATCCTTCTCGCAACTCTACAAGAATGTTAGTGTCAGTCATGAACTCTAATAATTTTATGTTAAAAACAGTTCTGGGATTTGATGCAGATCTGTTCATGATATCATTAAGTTTCGAAACCAAATAAAAATTTTCTGTTGTGCAATAGAGTATTTCTAATAAGAGTAACGGAAATGAATAGGATTGATGTTATTCTGGAAAAATGTTATTGTAGTTTATTATTTTTTCTGGCATTTTTAGAGTTGATGTAATTGTATTAAATAAAAAAGGTCAATAATCATTAGTTTATTCCAAATTAATTTGGATTGATTAAATTGAAAGAAGAGTTGGCAATATGCTCATTTACTAAAAATTAATCTTAAATAAACCATGTTTAATTTTGAAATATTAATTTTCAAAAGCCTTCATAAGGATATCCCCTCAAAATATATTTAAGTAAAAAAATAAATTTAAAGAAATTAACATTTTCAGTTTTTTTGTTTCTTTCTCAATGCATATATCACAATTTTTTAAATTTTCATTTCAGTACACGAGATAAAGAAATACTAAAATGAAGGGAAACACGCTTACCACATTTGAGCAGCTCACCTCTGTAGCACAGCCATTGTTTGCTGAATGTGTGCAAGGATTTGGGCCACAATTGGTACAACTCACTATTTCATTGGGCCCAGATGCATCTCGTTTGCCTTTGTCACCCTGTCAACAGACATTTACCCTGCATTAACATCAACTGTTGGCTTCACTTCAAGACACTACTTTCTATGGAAGACTACTTAGCAGTGAGGCAAGGAACTAATGTCATCTTAATAACACTGAATGAATTTGAAGTTTTGAGAAAAAGTAAATAAATTATTTGTTATAAAATATTTTTTAAAGAAATTTAAAACACTTATTATTACTTTCTAAAATGTAGATAAGAAATATTGAAAACTAGAATTAATTTTTGAAAGAAAAAACACATTAAAAGAAAATACCTAGCTAAGTATGACTATTTGAATTCTGAACATAATATGTATTTAATAAGTTCATAAGATTCATATAAAAAAAAGAAATTAAAAAAAATTTAGCATTAAGCATTTATAAAGTTTAATTCTTGCTCTCCTATTCTTTTGTGTATTTTAAGAAGAGTGTTTTTGTATTAATCTTACTATCTAATTCATCTGTTTTTGGCATTAAAAATAATAGGTAAGCTCCCTTAGACACAAAGAAATGGAAAAATTACAAAACAATTAAGGAAAATGAAAAACTTTGAAGGTACTCTTAAATGATGATTTGGTTATTAAAGGACACCTGAGTTGGACATTACATGCATAAAAACATCAATGCAATCAAGTCTTAATAGTTAGATGACAGGAAAAAATATTGCAATTCAGAAAACATTTTCCATAAAAAGTTTAAAAAAGAATAAAGATTTTAAAAAATTAGCAATACTTCTTGTTTTTTTTCATAATGTCAAATGGACCTTAATTTATGAGTTATGAAAGGAAACAAATTTTAATAGTAAAAATATTACTTATATTGAATACAAGAAAACAAATAAGTCAAAATAAAGATATATATTACTAAAGAATGTATGAGAATATTGTCAACGTTACGTGTGAATGGATTTAAAAAAATAAATAATGACATTGAAGAGAAAAAACACAAAATATTCTAATTATTTTTCATAATTTTTATTCATTTATTTTCATATAAACATTTTTATTTTCCAATTGCCGTTGATTTTGTTATTTTATCTTGTCATATTTTTGTTTGTTTGAAAATACCATAATAAATACCTAAAAAATAAAATTTTACAGACTTAAATAGAAACAATGCCTTCTCAATACCTACAGACTAAAATAGCAAGAATCATAACCAAAAGGCAATTATACTTTGCAACTTCAGGACATTTGTTCATACAATTTTTTTAATCAAGTGAATTCTTCAAAAAAACTTTATGATCCGGTACCAAAACATTTAAATGTTCTCCAACAATTTCAAGGTCCAACTGAAGTGAAAAATATTTAATCCTGAAATAAGAAATTATAGAAATTTGGAGAGAAAATAATGATGCTAACAAAAAAATCCTTGTGTGAGGCAAGACAGCAATATTTGCTAAATATTATGAGAGTAATTTTCTTTCAATTGCAACAGAGTTAAAACCTTTAAATTGAATTAGAAAGCAATAGAGTTAAAACATAAAATTGCATTAAAACCTTTAAATTGCTAATGAAAAGTACATTTGAATGATTACTAAGTAAATCTCATTGATCAATTAACTTCAGTGTCTTTTGAATCAATGCATTTTTTGATGTGAATTTCAAAAATACAGTTTTAATGTCTAATAATGACACAAAATTCTTATTGATTATCCTCACTGCATTTTACAGCAATGCAGATGTACAACCAAGATGTGTATCAAATAATATGTAATAAATAATATTCATAATAAAAATATATTAAAATGGATGCATTATAAGATGTGATGTTTTAAGAAGAGTTTTTAGAAAAATCTTCAATACACAACACCATTGATTGGCGACAAAACACCCACTACTGTGAAAGCAGAACAGGCATTAGTATCCATTAGAATACATCATTGATACACTTCTTCCATCAGAGGCTTTAAAAAATAATAAAGACTTAGGGAATTTTTACTAAATAATATGTGACTGTATCTGAAGAACAAGTCACTGATAACTCTAAAAGATATAATAATTCAGAAGGAAGTATTAATTTAAAAAAAAAAATTATTCTCTATTTAAGATTTTGTTTTAATTATACTGTATTTTATTATGTATTCATTATAGTGCCATTGAAGAATTAATTTATTATAACAAAATAGTCAAGAAGTATTGCCTTATTAACACTTGATTGGACACACACAAATAAACAGAAAAAGGGACATATTAAGAAGAGAGCCAAATGTCAGATATACTTTCCTTTTAGATTATATTTTCTTCAAATTTTCTATTAAATGAAATGCACCAAGGTATTCATTCAAAATTCATTCATTCAGATTTGCAAAATAAAAATAAATTTAGAAGATTATTGATATCATACATATGACTGATATAAAGTGTCTTAATAACATGGCACACATATTTTCATGAGAGAATATAATAGAGAAACGTTAAATTGAATTAGATACATCAGCTTTGACATAAATCTCGTGTGTTAAATATTTGAAATAAACAATAAGCTAAGGAAAAGAGTGAGAAAAGTTCAGAATATTTGTAGATTGATTTTATTTTATTAGCTTTAATTACCTACATTATTCTGTCAGTTCTAATAGAGTTTTAAGTTCTCCAGAAATGTTGTCATAAGTCAGGATGTTCTTCAGATGAGGATCAATGATTACAATACAAATTTAATAACTTCATTCACTTTTTGGTGATTTTTATCTTCTTGATTTGTAGAGTATCATCATCATTATCATCATAATAATTTCTATTTTATTTTCTATTACTATTTTTATTGTAAAGCATTGGCTATATTAAAAGAAATACACAATTCCACTTGATACTCCATTATTTTATGACCTGTCTATTCCATAAATAGGAACTCTTTAAGAAACTTGAATTAAGATAAAAGATCTTAACTTCAATCACAGGGATAAGCATGCAATTCCAAAGAAAAGAATTCTAACAATAAAACAAAATTTAACATCATATGGATGCATTTCATTAATTATTCCAAAAGAACTAAATGCACTCTTTTTGCTATACATTGTCTAAGTGTGCAATAATTTTCTAATTTTGTTGTTGTTGTTGTGGATATTCACTACATGCATTTCACTACATGTAATTCATTTTGTTGGAAATTTCTAACTTTGTATCTCTGTCCACATCACAGAAGTTGCTCATTGCTGTAACTGGAGAAACATTTTGCTCTATGAGAACCAATACAGTGTTTGAACATTTAAACTCCAAAAATAAATATATAAAACAATGTAATATATTTTTTAACATTACTACTAAAATTTAAGGAAAACAATTTTTTTTAAATACGGAATTCAAAAATTGAAATATTACCAAGGTGCACTGAGTAAAGAATACAAAATTAGGTATTTGTAATTGTATACCTGACATTATGGAAATCCTAGATTGTAAAGGAGACAAAACAAGACCTAAGCAAGCAGCAAAGCAAGCATAAGCTCAGTGCACTAAGGAAGCGGCATCTAGATAAAGGCATTGATTTGACAACTATCAAAGCGCTCTAGTTTGTCTTTTGTTCATTGTTTGACTGATATATAAGTTACTATGTACTGCCCATATTTAAAGGTATTGTGGTTTTCAAATTATCATCTATTTCTTCTCATATACTATATGTACAAATGAAATTACTTTACTTTTGAACAAAACTCAGTTAATACAAGTATATTAATCTACATTATACATTAACATTATCATCCTGTAATACTAAGCTGAATGAGAAAATACGTAAAATGTAGTCCTATTTTATTTATTGATGATATTTTAAAATGTTCAGAATGTAAATCTTGCATGTTTTATTAGCTACAATAATAAAAACCAGCATATTACACTGAGTTTTGCTGAAATTTATATCATTGATACCAGACTACTCAAAACTAGATACATACATCAATTTCTACTCAAAAGCTTCTACATTCACAGTTTTCAACTAAAGCAGCAAAATATAAACTATCTGACATACTTCTAGAACGTTGTGGCCCATATTTCTGTGAGCATATTCCACTTTCCCTCTAAACAATTGTTCAATTTTTATGCCTATATTAGTCAAGATATTCTCTATGTATTTCTAGTCTCTCTCTCTATTCTATAATCTTAAATTGTTGTTTTTATGAATTAATTGATGAACCAATCATTTGTACCCTCACAAGAAAAGTTTTAAATATGCACAAAATTGAAAAATAAATTTTACTGATCCTGTGAAGAAACAAATGAGCATATATGGGGATTTCATATTAGTTATGTGGAAGAGTAAACAAGTTCATTTTTCAAACATTTTAATAATTCATAAATTTTCAAAATGCAAATATGGCCAGCTGAAATAGGTCTTTGTTTATCAAAAAGCAACAGATTTAAGAATTAAAATAAATATGGTTACTGAAACCTCTTCCACAATACTTTTATCTAGTCTCATATGAACTAAAAGTTATTTTCTTATTACCTGTAAAATATGTTACAAATAAAACTATTTGCCTTACCCCAATAAAATTCTAGAATGATGCTTTCTTTCTTTATAAATAAACTGCCAGTACCTCATGAACCTAAGCTGTCTAACATACTAAGAACAGACAATGCTCCTCCTGTACTTTTTGATTGCTACCACTGAATCTATGGAAGACATTATAAATGTTAAGAGAGAACGGGTAATAATTAATACCAATAATGAGAGTAGTTCGCTGTCTGAGCCCCTATTTCTGTGGCATACCTGTAGTGGAACAACAGAACATAAAACATGGGATCAGACAAAGTACACAACAGCAACACTGTGGTTCCTCATTAGCAAGACTAATGATGCAGTAATAAAACCAAAACTCTTTTTAAAAACACATCTGTTAGAAAATGTTGACACAGCTAATGAAGGTGCCTACATGAGATGAAGAATTTCAACTATTGAATCAAATAATTACTTGTGAAAATCAAAACAGCTAGATCGTAGACTAAAATGTTTTCAAATAAAATAATTCAGAAAAATAAACAAAAAACAAAGTGTTCAATCACGCT